TAACGGAATTTAGGTGACAATGAACTTTGACCTTAAAGCTCAATCGTTGTTATTGTTCATTATTAAGCACAAAGCTACACAATGGGCTATCTGTGCTCTGCCCACCACGGGTATCGAAACCCGGTTTCTAACAGTATAAGTCCGCAGACATGCCGCTGTGCCACTATGGGGAGTCTTAAAGCTCAGAAAGACAAGTTTGTTTACTGCTTTTGCTTTACAGCCTAAAACTTTAGTAACTTTAAATTTCTTCTTAAATAAGAATGGTGTTTGAATTTTAAAAGTTGTTACATTCTTTTATGTAAATCAGCATTATTTCATTTTACATGTGAACATTTTAAGGTGTATTCAGGAGTATATCGTATATATATATATATATTGTAGGCTGAGGCCATTTACATTATCTGATATTGGAATAATAACATACTTACTAATTTAAGTATATTTTTATGTTTATCCTAACATAATTGATACCCGTTTTTCAGATTTATTTAAATACTATGTCATGCTTATTGTATTAACAGAATTATGCTTACATCATAACAAGACCAATATATGCATTATCATTCTTTTTTATCATCCCTTCAATTTTGCAAAGAATCACAAATGGACTGTAGGACACTTTGTTGTGTTGATATGTCAGAGCTTCAAATTATTTGAAAACGGAAATTATCATGTTTCTTTGTTTAAAAAATCTAAAATGTATCTATCTAGTATATAGTAATCAGTTTCATTACTTGCACTAACTTGGAAGTGATATTTGTTATGAATTGACATGTTTACAAGTTTTGCTATTGTATACTGCTCAACTCCATAGTCTCGCTTACATTAAATTCTGCCACAGATCAGTTACACTGACCCGATAAAGACCGACCAGAGAAGGATGAACTTATTTACACAATCCTAATTGAATTAATATTAAACTACATTCAACGTTTTTAAGCGAAGTCTGAGATTGTTTAGCGTCAACTATCTTATACAGATTGCTAACTGTGGTGTCTGTCCGAGTGTTCGTCTGTCTCCAGTTTGAAAAGTTGCGCACGCAGGCAAAGCTCAGCATTCACTTTTGAAATGACGGGAGAACAGGCATGAATAATGTTTATGCTAACGTTTATTTCGCAAGCAAGATATTCTACAGTAAATTGTTAGGAATTATTCACACTATCGTTCACATTTCAAAATGTGATGTAACTTAAAGAATACAAATGTAGACTTACAGTATGTTATTGTTGAGTGGCTCTTAGCATGACTGAAATGCTTAACAGTTACTATTCGCAGTGGATGATATAAATAGCTATGGCTCTGAATGAAACCAGAATTGCAATACACTTAACCTTGCCCTTTCATCCGTGGGGTGTTATTATATGACGGACAATCCCACTATTCGTTGGTAAAAGAGTAGCCCAAGAGTTGGCGGTGGGTGGTGATGACTAGCTTCCTTCTCTCTAGTCTTTCACTGTTAAATTAGGGACGCTTTGCGCGAAATTCAAAACAAACAAACAAATAATTAACTTTTTAAAGTCCGTGAAGTAAATTAAATTGATAGATTAGCCTAGACTTTCCCGTCACTGGGGACGGGTACATTTGCTTGTTATTATATAATTCGACCGTTTACAACTCATGTTGAAGAAACTTGCTCACTATTTCAGTCAAAACTTTTCTTTTTAATAGCTTTGATTTTATCCCATCATTTACTGAAGTAGAACCCCTTGCTGCACTTATACAATACGACAAAACGATCTAACAAAAGTTGATATGTAAACTATTGAAAGAACAAAACTTAAAAAGCATATAATTAAACCTTTTCCGGGAGATGGCGGCGTTTACAAAAGAATATCGTATATAATTGGCACGAAAGAAACTTTTACGTAAAAACTAAAAATATTAAACGATTTATAAAGTTAGTGTTACAATAGCCTACTGCATACGGAAGTTACTGTATTTTCTAACACTACAGTTTGTATTCTAGATTTAAACTATTGTCATTATCTAGCCCAGTGGTTCCCAACCTGGGGGTCCGCGTAGGTAATATCATCTCATTAAACAAGTAAGTTTTTAATACTGATGTTTT